GACGAGAATTCCAATTGTTTACATATTATTCAGGGCAATGTTAAGATTTCTCACAATTTTCTTTAAACGGTAGACTTCTTTGCTTGTGAAAGAACCCTCTGCCATTAGGCCTTTGGCTTTTTCCACAAACTGCTCTAGATCGGGAAAATATTCCTGCACACACACACCTCTTTTATTTTTAGTCGATCTGAGGAATAACTTGATGTCATCAAGCTCATAATTCCGGCCAGCAAACTCACACAGAGAGAGAGACACACTAGAGTCAGAAGACTCGCCATCACTCTCAATATCCTGCTCCTCGTCCTTATGCATTTCACTTTTTTTGCTTATTTTAGCATCAAGTACTTTGTCACTTTTCTTCCTTTTTTGAGGTGTTTTAAAAACAAACGGCTCATTTTCCATTCTAGGACAGTTATTCGCCTCACACACTTCTTGCAGTTGAGCTGAAGTACTTCCTGAAGTACTATCATTTTGCTCATCACCATTGTCTCTGGAACATTGTGCCACACATGCTGCTAGATCCTTCACACCAGCATCTGAAAGCGTTTCAGCGTGAGCCGAGGCCGACCCAGTCTCAGACTCACTGGATAGACCTGTAGCCGCCGCCACCGAGCCTTCCCCCGGGGATATCCCCGCCGCTGCACCAGTGTTCCGGCGAATTCAGTTACCTGTAGCACTCTCGCTTACCGCATTCCTTTCATTTACTGCAACTTTGTCAGGACAGTTGCAAATTAAATGCCCAAACTTGTTACAACCAAAACATTTCATTTTTGCAGTGGTGACAAAAACAACATAATCAAAATCGTCAATCCGAAAATTGAGTGACATGTCCAGATCAGCGTCATCCTTAATGATCATATAAGCAAAACGCCTAAAAGAAACAATATGCCTCAACTGAGGCAACACACTGCTGATTGGGATCAAAATATCATCGCTCACAAAAGGTGGGACATTTGACAAAGTGAAAGCCGGTAGAGAAAGGGGCAGAACAGGGACAAGTTCACCACTGATAACTATGCCGTGCTCAACTTCTACTACTTCATTATCTATAGGCCTACTGTCAAGAAACACTACATTGGCACCGTTCATTCTTGAGGCGGACAGCACACTCTCATGCCCCACCACCTCTCCAATTGCCAAACAACAATCTTCCACACTCACCGCGGACGCCACCTTTACAGCGTAGCGCCGCGTAAGTGAGCTTAACCCCTGCATGCGTGGGGCCGACATGCTTCCTCAATAAAGCGGACGGCACGCGGCCCGAAAAACACAAAAACAACAACTAGACACACACAGTTTAGGATAGAAAGGAAAAAGAAAAAATCATTCACAGCACTCTGCCTACCCACGCACCGGAAGAGTGTGTGTGTGTGTGTGTGTGTGTGTGTGTGTGTGAGAGAGAGAGAGAGAGAGAGAGAGAGAGAGAGAGAGAGAGAGAGAGAATCCTGGGTGACGTCACGCGACTCACGGAATGGGAAACCTGTGGGCTTAAAATACAAGTGTCACACAGATACACGTAACAGGGGCTAAAAGACTAGTAAAACTAGAAGCATTGTTTTTAAATTAATAAGCATTAAATAATCATTTTACATTGAGATAAGCATTTAAACGATAAAAACAAAGGACCCATGACACTGGGAAGGGCTAAATAGTGCTGAATGAAATTAACTGAGTGCTGGCTTTTGCATGCTCCATACTGAACAAAAAGTAAAACAGCAAACAGGTATTTTTTGGCATGTTGTCAGTCAGTGACACGTCCCTTTGGAGGCATGGCGATTGGGATGCAAGTCAGAGTAACATGTTTTAGACCAGAGAGCAGAGAACAACGGGAAAAAAGAGAGGAATATCACACAATTAAATCACATCTTAAAACTTACTTGAATCCCAGAGGGGTGTGCTATTGTTTTGCGTGCCCGGTCTCATGAAAATGCGTATAAATAGTACGCCAAATAAAAATGAAAACTCGTGGTATTGATACGCAAAAATGGACTTTGGCGTGCATATAATACGCAGTTTTAGCGTGCATATGATACGCATCTACCACACAACCCTAATCCTACCCATCGCGTAGCATATACACGCCAAAGTCCATTTTTGCGTATCAATACCACGGGTTTTCGTTTTTATTTGGCGTACTATTTCTACGCACTTTCGTGAGATCGGGTTGATAAGCAAGCTGGTCATGTTTTTTTATTCTGACTCTTTCCACTTCACATTTTTCACCACTCTGTTGAGGTCAGTGGTTAAAACTTTAAAAGTGCTCTCCGAGTGTCATGATCCCTGTCTGTGTTCCCCTGTCTTGAGTTTAGGCTGAAAAAGGGATACAGCTGCGGCACGACCACATCAATATTGCGTAATTTCTGTCACGCTGAACAACAATAATTAGGCCTACTGTAATAAGTAAGTAACTTTATTGTAAGGGGTAGGTTTAGGGTGGAGGTAGATGTTGTGTTTCTCAAATAAAGAGGCTGTTTCTCATTAAATACTGCCGACATTTTAATAACAACAAATATTGCTACATCATTTCACAGCGTGTCGCTTTCCTCATTGTGCTCTTTATATCATTAATCACATACTGAACTCTAGTAGTAACAACAGCAATAACGATCACATTTAAAATAGTACAGTAGATACGCCACCTAATTTACTT